ATCCCCTTTTAATTTTCCTGGCACGTGGAAAGGCTACCAAGTCACAAGCCGTGACTGCTTCATCCAGCAGAATCATAGCATCATAATGAAGCATGAAGAAAGACACGGAAGAATAGACAACCAATGAAGGAGCTCAAAGGACCAAGATTTTGTACAAGAGACCAGGATGGGCTTCTGTCAACGTTAATAAGAGGTGGAAGTGTTTAGTAATAGTGGCTTCGGTTGTTTCTGGCCAGATAGATGATGGCTTGAGTCTTTCAGGTTTTCTTTTATTTATTTCTCCTACTGCACTTTTGATCTGCTCTTTCTGCATAATGCATGCTTTTTCACCCTTTTTAATTACTAGCATTTTTCTAACTGATCAACTCATGTAACGCAAATAATTTGTTTTACATAGTAAGTAGCAAAATCCCCTCTCAAATTGTTTGCGTTACCTGTTGAAAAATGTATAGTGCTATACATTACAATATTATTTCAACTTGTTTAGTTGCATAAAGTATATGACAACAGTCTTCACTGCATTTTTGTTGTGACTTTAATATAGTAAAATGCAGTCTTTTCTCATTTCTACAGTTTTTATAGCAGTTGTTTAAAAAGGAATTAAGAAAATAAATGAAATCTACTTGGTGTTTTTGGTCTAGTGGCTTTGTTGACAGATGGCCTACTTTCTCATTTTTCATATGTTTCTTCAGACAAGTGATGGTCCTGGGTCACGGTCAGGTGCAGTCAAGCTATGTGAAGATCCTCCATCGCCAGCCACCAATGCTATTCCCAAGTTAATTGGAGCAAGCAATGTCCCTATAGATTGTAATGAAACATCTTGTGTTGGGAGTATCCCCTCCTGTTATGCCCCCCTTCAGCTCAAAATTGGTGTCGCCAGGCAGGGGGGCAACACCCTTGCCAAGCAGCACACAGTGGCACCCAGTGAAGGTTTCAACTCTGGCGATACCAAGCAACCAGGACTCCCAAAGCAAAAATTCACTTCAGTGGACCAGTCCCTCAAGAGCCACAATAACGAAAACCTTCTTGCAGCCGACCTCTCCAACAAGCATGTCTCCTCCAGCAAAGCCACAATCACAAACCAACTAGATGGTGATAAAGTCACTCATAAGAAGAGGAAGTCTGTAATTAGAGGTGTGTTTTCATAGATTCAGTATTGAATATGTAGACCAAAGTACATCTTCGAAAATTTAGTTTTTTGTCAATGAAATGGAAATATTTTACTGTACAAGGTACTGTTCTATAATCTTCCAAAAATGTCTTAATTGATATATTATTATTTATTTATTTATTTATTTTGAGTACTGTATGTTTCATAAGATTCTTAACTTTTTAATTCCCTAAAAAAGATTTGCATTAAGCTCGCATGTAATTGGAGTACACGCATACCTAGGAAGCAGTGATACACAGGAGAGATGTCAGCAATATGCTTAGAGAAAGTACAGTGCAATTTTTTACTTCAGAAATGCCTGAATTGCATTTGAAAATTTAAGCTTTGGTTTAAATTTATTAATTTTTTTAATCAAAAGTTTTAGTGTAATAAATAATATTAAAATGTTTACATGAATGTTTATTGTAAGGGTGTAAATGAAAATACGAGTTAGTTTACAAATACATTTTTGAAGCCTTTGATGTGTTTGTCTTAGGACACCTTGCATGAGAAGAGATTATGTAGAGTAATTAATTAATACAATACATAACCCTTAACAGGGATGAATAATAAGGCAGACCCCACAAGTAGCACCAATACCAAGCCCCGACTCTCATCGTGCAGTCAGCAGCTGCGGACGTCCTCTTATGAGCTGCAGGCCAAGTGTTCATGAATCCTGGAAGTAATATACCAGTCTTCCCTAAATGAACTAAAAGTATGAATTCTCACTGCGAAAAAAAAAAAAAAAAAAAAAAAAAAAGCCTACAGTTGTTGATATGGCTTCGCTTGCCATTTTGTCAGCATGTACCATTCTGTTTCAAAAGAAATCAGAAATTTTAACAGTAAATTTGACTTCTTGCCAGCATATTTAATGATAAACAGTCTGTGTACCATGTTCAACAGCCACAATATACTCTATATCTAAATCATGTGTTTGGTACAGGTTCAGCCTAGCAAAATTTGAAGTGAACCAGCTGCATAATTTATGAAGATAATTAAAATTTATTTTAGGTTCTGTTTGTGCTTAAAGCTTTATTTGTACCATTTAATGTAAAGATATAGGGGCAAAACAAAAAAAAAAACAGAATTTTCTTAGCCAAACTTTGGACTTGTGTATTGATATAAAAATCACCTTGGTTTCATATCAAGTTTAAAAGGCATTTAGCTTCAAATAGTAATATCTAACCACCAATCACAGTATTGTATTTACAATTTTAGAGCTTAAATAAACAACTGAGGAATGTAATTTTGTTAGCAAAGTTTAATATTTAATGAATGATTATGAAGTTTCTCAAACATTGTTTCAGGCAGTTTAGATAATTTATAATATACATGACATAATTAAGTTACTACATCTACTGAGTGTTGATGAAAATTATATGACTGAAACAGATATTTTATTTAAATATACTGAAACTTTTAAACTTAGTGTTGAATTAATTAATGCTGAAAACCAGTTTTATCAAGGGATTCAGAATGCGTAATTCATTAATTAATATTCAGTCAATTTTTTATGTTATATAACAATAAGTATTTAAAAAAATTATCATAGCTAGAAATATGAGCAGGATAAATATCTATACATTTATCCTACCTACCATCATCTAAAATAATTTTTTGTCAGCTGAAGAGTTCATTCGCTGCTATCATTATATCATTGTCCATTTATTATTTTGGTAGATGCCTATATTAGGGCTCTTGGTAACAGTGGCGCCTAATACTGTCATCATTTTAAACTACACATGATTGTTTAATCTCCATGGGGAAGTAGAACAGAATTCTTCCTCCATAAGCCATGCGTGTCATAAGAGGCGACTAAAATGTTGGAGCAAGGGGCTAGTAACCCTTCTCCTGTATAAGTTACTAAATTAAAAAGAGAAACTTTCATTTTTCTTTTTAGGCCACCCTACCTTGGTGGGATACAACTGGTTTGTTGAAAGAAGAAGATGATTGTTTAAATATTATTTGTATTTCAGATTTGGAAGATTTAAGTTTTTGGGCCAGAGTCTCGGGTAATACAAAAATATATATACAGTGGTCCCTCGTTGTTCGTAATTAATCCGTTCCTGGAGCCGTTACTATAAACGAAATTTACGATTTACGAATCAATTTTCCCCATAAGAAATAATGTAAATACAATTAATCCGTTCCTGACACCCAGAAGTATTAAAACAAAAAAATTTTTAACATGAAATATGCATGTAATACATAAACAATACAATGGGAAATGATGAATGAAACATTAACAGCATAACACTTACCTTCATTGGAGATTCTTCTTAGTGTATGGGAGACTGGAGGAGGAGAGAGAGTGATTGTTTATAGTTTTGGAAGGGGAATCCCCTTCCATCAACACCTCAGGTACCATTTGCTTTCTGGAGTTGCTTCTCTTCTCTGTTTCTTAATGCCACTAGGACACCTTGAGAGTCACTGGAGTCCTGTCTCACAAAATACTGTGGAGAGAGCTCTGTTTCTGGCGTCTCTTTAACACTTCCCTAAAATAGCCCAAGACCTTGTCACTGTACATGATGCCAACCTGGCTTGCAACAACCTTGTTAGGGTGATGTTTCTCCATAAAGCTTTCCATCTTACCCCACATAGTAAAAATCTCTTTAATTTCTGAAGAAGGCACCTTCTTCCATCTCTCTTCCTCCTCCTCTGCAGCAAGATTCTGAGCTGCGATTTGTTGCTCTTCCTGCTGAAGCTCTTGCAGCTCCTCAGTGGTGAGCTCTTCATTGTGGTCTCCACCAATTCTTCCACATCCTCCAAACTCACATCCCAACCCATGGAACTCCCCAGTGCCACAATTGATTTTACAACAGACATAGGCTCATTAGGGTCAGTCCCAATTCTTCAAAATCCCCTCTTGTCAACACAATCTGGCCACAGTTTTCTCCAGGCAGAGTTCAAAGTCCTGGTAGTCACTCCCTCCCAAGCCATACCTATAAGGGTTATGCAGTGGAGGATGCTGAAGTGTTCTCTCCAAAATTCCCTTAGGGTCAAGTGAGTGTTTGTGGTCACAGTCAAGCACCTGTGAAACATTGCTTTTGTGTAGAGTTTTTTAAAGTTTGCAATAACCTGCTGGTCCATGGGTTGAGGAGAGGAGTGGGTATTCGGGGGAAGAACTTTACTGTGATGAGCCCAAACTCCTCGAAAATTAGGTCATCCAAGTCTGGAGGATGAGCAGGTGCATTGTCCATTACTAGCAGGCACTTGAGATCCAATTTCTTTTCCAGGAGATACTCCTTCACACTAGGGCCAAACACTTCATTGAACCACTCGACGAAAATTTCCCTTACTATTAGATTTCCAAAACACACACAATTTACTCTTCATAACATTGTTTTTCCTGAACACTGGGATTTTCAGAATGGTACACTAGTAATGGCTTCACTTTGAAATCCCCACTAGCATTAGCACAGAATATTAGCGTCAGCCTGTCTTTCATAGGCTTGTGTCCTGGCATTGCCTTTTCCTCTTGTGTAATGAAGGTCCTCTTTGGCATTTTCTTCCAAAAGAGGCCTGTTTCGTCACAATTGAACACTTGTTCAGGTTTCAGTCCTTCAGCCTCTATGTACTCCTGGAATTCATGCACATATTTTTCAGCTGCCTTGTGGTCCGAACTGGCAGCCTCACTATGCCTTACCACACTGTGTATGCCAGTACGGTTCTTAAATCTCTCAAACCAGCCTTTGCTGGCCTTAAATTCACTCACTTCACCACTATTTGCAGCAATTTCTTTACCAAATCTTCATGCAACTGCCTAGCCTTTTCACAAATAAACGAAGTCATAAGAGTATCTCCTGCTAATTGTTTCTCATTTATCTACACCAATAATAACTTCTCAACCTCTTCCAGTACTGGTGATCTCATTTTTGTCAGCATAGTTACTCCCTTTGCAACAACAGCATCCTTTATTTCATTTTTTCTTGGCCACTATGGAACATAAGGTTGTATAGGGTTTCTTATACATCCTGGACAGTTCGGCCACACTTGTACCACTTTCATATTGTTCAATGATGGTTTTCTTAAATTCAATCGTATTTCTCACCTTCTTTACCACAGGCTTGGCACTAGGAGCTTTCTTTGGAGCCATGGTAGCTTATTTAGTACTTGCTAGCACTAAAATAAATGGAATATTATGAAATATTTCGCTGGAGCACGTGAGGGGACCTTCGCTCACTGGTAAACAATGCCAGACTGGCTGCCGCCCTGGCTCACGCCGTGGGTACGTGTCCCGGACGAACTACGACTCGCGAGTCAACCTATGAAAAGCGAGTCCATGTTTATACGAAAATACCTCTATGATTGGCGAATTTTACGATTGCCGGGAACTACGAAAAGCGGGGGACCACTGTATGTACACAAAGTTTGGAAGATACTCAAATGGTGAGCTATTTAAGAATCTGGAGCATAAGAGTTTGCCTTCAGTGGGCAGGTATTTTCCAAGGTCCAGTTGCTAACTGGTAATGAGAATTATGAATACCTGCAGAGTTTCACACCCTACAC